TCAATAATTAAGAATGCTGCGACTGATATAGCAACCCACCCAAGGTCGTCTACCTACCTTCCATGTCATCCTTCCTGCCTTCATACCCTGCTTGCCCTGCCTTCATACCCTGCTTGCCCTGCCTTCCTGCCTGCTTGCCCTGTGTATTTTCCTTGCCTGCCAGCTTTATCCAGCTCTAGCTGCCACTGCCTACTTTCTGTCTGTCTGCCTGTCTTCTTTTGCTTGTCTACCTGGCCTGTCTGTCTGCCTCCCTGGGAAGGTCTTAATGTTTGGAAGGCGAGTGTGATTAATGTGGAGATCTGTGTTAAGGAATAGTTAAGCGAGGCCGAAGGATTTCTAGTCACAAGGGTGAAGAGGAAGGATGGGCGGGCCTAGCCACAAGGGTGAGGAGGGACGGTGAGAGGGCCTAGCCACGGTATATGTTATGACATGCCTCTTTAAAGCTATTTCTCTAAGTGATTAGTTCAGTAATTGATTATTGTATATAGCTCTTCAAGGAAGTGAATTAAAGTGGCTGCTGGAGACTCAGTACTGTACTCTAATTGAGCTATAATTTAAACCTATTTCTTTATTATTTGTTTTCCCATCTCTTAGAATTAGTTAATGTATTTATATATGAAAGCAAATTTCATCACTCTTATATATTTACCTGTGATACTAGACTTTGCATTGAACCAGTTATACACATTATATAGTGGGTGGGGGTGAGGAGTCGGGAGGTTGTCACAATTTATGAGCCTGTGGTGATGGAGCAGAATTGCCTATATTGTGGCTTCATACACAAGACTATAGACTTGAAAGAGCATTTAATACCTGCGGTTACGATGCCGAGAGCTGACACCAATAAGGTGCAGTCTGTGAGCTACTGGAAGAGACCAGTAAGATTTACTCTCGGCCTCTCCCGAGATTCGGTGGTCGTCCTCAAAACCCCGTGGTTTACAGTTTTATTAGATTTGACACTGGGTAGAGGCCAGAGACAACTGGCCTCTACCCAGACGGTTTGACGGTCTCCAACGGCTTCTTTGGAGACCGTCAAACCGGACAGGGGCGGGTTCAACAGAATGTGGGACGGGCGGGTTCAACAGACAGGTATGCAGTAGAAACTCCACTATCTAAGAAGGTTAGCTGTGAGTTGGGGGTCTCTGTAGAGATACTGCTATCTGACTGACCTTGGTGCTACGGCACGACGTAACAGGATCTAATCACTACTAGGCCGAGGAGGGAGGATGGGAGGACCTAGTTACAAGGGCGAGGAGGGAGGAGGTATCCCTGGAAACACAAACCTAAACTGTCTCTATTTTCCGCTTGTTACAACTTGTAATAAAGTTGTTACATCTTGGCTGAACGTGTTTATGACGTATTAGAACGTTGATACAACTTGCTATATTGGTTGTTATAACAGGTTAGGAGGTGTTAAAACTTGTTCGAACGTTGTACCAACGTCGTAGTTTCGGTGTGTGTTTGGCGGGATCGGCCTTAACCTGTAGAGCCGGCATAACAGGAACAGATCCAAAGTGGGAGTGAACAATTACCGTCAGCTACAAAGATAGGCAATAAGAGGGTAAGGGTGGTAGCTTATATTCTGGAAGGTGCATAAACCTCCAAGGCAAAGTTTGGAGGTCTTCGGGTTAGGGGTGTGGCATTGACCTTTGCTCTCAAGGTCAGAACAGTCCGTGATTCAAGTCGCTAGGTTCAAAACAATCCAAGAGTAAATCAGTGAGGTTAATGACTTTTTGTCACGGTGTAAAAATGATGTGGGGTCAGTTCACCAACACAAGTTGGAACGAATTGCTCTGGTTATTAGAAATAGGCACACTGAAATTAATTGATAATATAATTGTTCTGTTTTGCTTAAAGCCAATAATTTGCTAGATACATAACACAGTAACACTGTAATACACAGTATTCTATAATACATAAATCTTCATTCATTATTACTCAGTATTCCATAATACATAACTCTTCATTCATTATGGAATCAGTATTCCATAATACAGTATTCAGTATACCATAATACCCAACAATCCAAAGTTCATTTGGATTGGAGATCTCAAACAATTTGAGAGTTCATTTTTCAACTTCCTTCTCAAGTAAAGAAGAACATAAGAAATATTGAGAAGACTCGTGCTAGAACCATTGATCTCAACCCTTTGTCATATCCAGTAACATGTGTCAACAAGAAAGACTGCTACCAAAATATACTAACACACTTTATTATATACACAAGAGCTTTCTATCACTGAAAGTTCCAATTAGTGGTATGCGCTTGCAGCACAACCCGTTCTCGCACTTTCTTACAGTCAATATTGACTTATTAAATACGTGTATATGTGACATACTAGTTTACCTTGAAAAGCTTCATAGAAAACACCGACCTTACCTAACCTTCTTAGTATGTTAAGATAAACATCTTATTGCTTCGTAATTACAATTATTACTTAACCTATACCTATAATAGGTTAAGTAATAATTGTAATACCTATACTCTATACCTATAATAGGTTAAGTAATAATTGTAATTACGAAGCAATAAGATGCTTATCTTAACATACTAAGAAGGTTAGGTAAGGTCGGTGATTTCTATGAAGCTTTTCAAGGTAAACTAGCATGTTTGGTATGTCACATATGCACGTATTTAATAAGTCAATATTGACTATACGAAAGTGCGAGAACGCGTTGTGCAGCCATAGCTCCTAAACCTGACCCGGCCAAAAACGCATTTTATTTGATGCAACCCAACGGCGGAGAGAATATCTGAGGCAATTCTCCGCGAGGCACCGTCAGGACAGGAGAGGGACCACCTCACAGCCAAGAGTGCTCCCCATGCAGGGGATTTTCTTTTATGCGTACCTATATGTGACGTTCAACGAGGATATTCCTCAACGTTATACGGCTACAATAGTCGCTGCAAGCAGACGTCATTAAGTCATTCTGGATTAACCGAGACAAGTGAGGTGCTTGCTATTTAAAATGACGTCTTACAACTGGATTTGCGTCATTTTTCGGGGAAACACAAAATTTTTATCTTATTTGTACTTAGTCACTGCGGATGCCTATTACCAGTTCCTCGGTGTGGTCTTAACGATTAGTTCATAGTTCAGTAATACAACGCTTTTTATCTCTATAATATTGCAGAGCAGTTTATACCGCATAGTATATAAAAAAAATTATAGTAAATTATTTGGTAATAAATTAAAAAGTTAAGGAAATTATAACTGCAGATAAGTTTCTCTGTTTGCCACTTTTTTCTGAAATGCAATACGAATCATGTGTGTCCAAGTGCTCTTGCAGCTGCCCCATTTAAATGGATACAGAGTATATTATCACTATTGACATCCACAAGAGCGCCGACAGCGGCCATTGTGGACCTCTAGCCAGTTTTCTATTTTATCGTAGAAATCGAATTCTTAAGCATAAACTGAACTGTGACATGAACGACGGTTCACTACAGCCCTTTGATGAATAATAAAGAGCATTTGTAAATTGGTTCTTCTGGTCGACGACGGGAAGATCTATAGTCGTGAAGCTTTGTAACGCTAGCCACCTCGGCCAGCCTTACAAAGCTTGAGGAAGATTTCTGCCTCAAATCGATGTCATTGTATATATTGTTACAGGCTACGAATGGCGTTCCTTGTTGAGTGTGAGCATGGAAGGGGTTTGTGCTTCCGAGAGGAGTGACCCCGAGGGAGGGTAAGAAGTGAAGTGGGGACAGAAGAAAGTTAGGAGAAAAGAAGTATGGATTGTGGAAGTGTTTGGTCTGCACCTACCTGAAGTGTATGGGAGTTTACAGCACTGAATATACATCTGTATATTAACGAAAGGCACACATATATTCAGTTCATGTTTGGTAGAGCATACATACACTATTAAAACGCTGAGAATGCTATATTTATGAAAATTAGATCCTTTATTGCTATATATATATATATATATATATATATATATATATATATATATATATATATATATATATATATATATATATATATATATATATATATGACTGTCAGACCACGGAGGAAAATTGAAACAGGAATTTCCTTAAGTACTTTCGTATATTAATACATCTTCAGGAGTGAATATTAATATACGAAAGTACTTAAGGAAATTCCTGTTTCAATTTTCCTCCGTGGTCTGACACTGTCACATTTTTAATCATGTGTTTATTTTCGTGATTTACACACACACACACACACACACACACACACACACACACACACACACACACACACACACACACACACACACACACACACACACACACACACACACACACATACACACACACACACACACACACACAAACACACACACAAACACACACACAAACACACACACAAACACACACACAAACACACACACAAACACACACACAAACATATATATATATATATATATATATATATGCGAACAAGCCTGAATGGTCCCCAGGACAATATGCAACTGAATGAGGTGATTTGGTAAAATGCTATGCCCAAGATTACTATCCGAGTGCCGGCGGTGGGGTGGTTCAAATAGCCTCGGCTATCACCTCATTTTGTCCGGTCGTGATGGTCAAGTGGATTAAGGCGTCTTGTACATACCAGTTGCGTGGCTCCTGGGAGTATGGGTTCGAGTCACTTCTGGGGTGTGAGTTTTCAGTTATATATATATATATATATATATATATATATATATATATATATATATATATATATATATATATATATATATATATATATATATATATATGTGTGTGTGTAAAACATGAATTTACTTAAGTACTTTCGTATTTAATAATACATCTTCAGAAGGATCCGACCTTCTAAATAACCCCGACCAGGATTCGAACCCCTGACACCCAGGATCACCCCCAAACATTACACGGTACTATGGCCTCCTCACTATTGATCGCAGCCACTCATTGATCGAAATGTAAAGAAAACACGCCAATACAAAAATGAAAACTAATGCATCAATTTGGCGGCCAATGAGAGCCGAGATGCTAGAAATCAACTGACCAATCACGTCGCTGGAGTCCTTGCCGAGGATGAGGGGAGGGAGGGTAGAGCAAGATGGCGGCAAGTTGTTGTTCTTGTTGGGCTGTAGCCAGAAGCTCTGAGGCAGCGCTCTCATCTTCATTGGCAACGGATCTAGAAAATTATATAAAAATAATTCACATTACTAATAATATAGTAATATTTGTGCCGCAAATACCATAGTAGTTAAGTTGTAAAATTGATAGTAGCAGTGGGAGTCGAAATAGTCAGGTAAAAAGAAACTCATGGAATATGGTTAGAAAAGATAACAGATTTACAGCCTATCACAGTATTAGGAGTGGAAATTGATGAAGATCTTCAGTCAGACGACAATAAACATATTGCAGCTAAATGGACTAGGAAACTAGCTAGATTTTGAAGGGTAGAGCATCACTTAGATGCTAAGGGATTTACAATGCTGCAACTCTCAAATCAAATCTATAATGACGAATTCACTACTAATTTGTGATATTTTGCCCATGGTCAGATCTTAAAATATTAGACAACATTTAAAACAACGCCTCGCATCTAGTGAGAAGCGAATTTAATATTTGGCCAAGTCCGCACATCAGGATTTGAGACAGAAAAGAGATTAGGCTGGTTTGTGTATTCCACAAAATTATCAATATTCTTACTCCCCCTCCCCCCCCCCCCTTTTAGCTTCTATTCAACTTCGTTACTTACGAATAAACTACCAAACAAGAGAGGTGATATGTGACAATCTGATAGATCTTCCCATTGGCTGATAAAATCAATTCAATGTTGTTATCGTCCGAAATTTAGAAAGTTATAGATCGAATTTTGGCAGCAAGCTGGTGACCCAAACATACTGGCACTTCAGTTATCTTGTATAACACGATAACTGTGCAGAAAAATGCAGTTCTGCCTTACAAATCCCAAAACAAATTTTAACTTGAAATAATAATAATAATAATAATAATAATAATAATAATAATAATAATAATACATTTCTCCACATGGCATGCTGAATTTCACTCACTATATATCGTCCAAGACATGAGCCAGTTGAACGGACAACAATATACGATAACATTAACATTATATGATATAAGCGTTGTCATTAGAACTGAGCGCTATTATGGCGTTCTGAACCTCCACAAAAGAGCAGCGTTAAACTGCAGACATTATAGCACGAGGCCTACTGGCCAGGGTTAACTGAGCCTTTAGAGAGCAGGCTTATTTAATTCGATTTCTACCATGACAGCGGATGATGAAGTCTTCCTGCAATAACGAAGGAAAAATATTGTTGGTGTGGCTGAAACAGAAGATTTTGTTATGATGAGCAGCGGGGAAAGGTTTAGGGGGCTCTAACCTCGCAGGTGGAGACGAGGTTACACTAAGATGTTTCATGTGACCTGTGTCTGATTGTGTACAAAATCTGAAGTTTCTTGCTTTGGTATTTCTCTGCGCTTACGTCTGTATGTAATTAATTTAGATTTTTCATCTCGTTCTTTGAGTGGCTCTAAATATATATTTTTTAATTTGCCAAAGTTGCCTAAAATGTTTTTTTCTGAGACAAAACGTGTGCAAAACATCCCAGAACTGACGCGGATTTGTCGAGTCGTATTTTGTCTGTTTGCCTTCAGATATTTGTCTACTTGTTGTTGGTCAATGGATTTCTCCTGCTCTCGCGATTTTTAATAAATCCACAACATCCACCCACTCTGCTTCGTATTGCTTCTTACCGTGGCCTCAAATTTACATGCTCCACGCATCACATCATAATGGATTCTTTCAAATGATACGTTTAGCTGTTGCTATGTTGTGTACTCACCTAGTTGTGCTTGCGGGGGTTGAGCTTCGGCTCTTTGGTCCCGCCTCTCAACTGTCAATCAACTGATGTACAGGTTCCTGAGCCTACTGGGCTCTTATCATATCTACACTTGAAACTGTGTATGGAGTCTGCCTCCACCACATCACTTCCTAAAGCATTCTATTTGTCAACTACTCTGACACTAAAAATAGTTTTTTAATGTCTCCATGGCTCATTTGGGCACTCAGTTTCCACCTGTGTCTCCTAGTGCGTGTGCTCCTTGTGTTAAATAATCCATCGTTATCTACTATAACAATTCCATTGAGAATCTTGTATGTGGTGATCATGTCCCCCTAACTCTTCTGTCTTCCAGCGATGTGAGGTTTAAATCCTGTAGTCTTTCCTCGTAGCTCATACCCCTCAGTTCGGGGTATGTGTGCCTGTCTCAATGTGTATATATGCCTGTATACTTGTATGTGTGAGATTGTGTGCATGTATGTGCAATCCGTCCTCCTAATAGAACGTCGCATTTTGACGTATACATTACCTTAGACTAAAAAATGTTGTACTAGAAAATGATAGCGACTCACGAAATTGACATACTGCCCCATTTTCTGTTTTGGGTCCTCTGGTAGGTTAGGATAAGAGTATTTTATTACGACAGTTTCTTGACGTTGGGAAGGCTTAGGAGGACGGGCTGGTATGTGTACTCACCTAATTGTGCTTGCTGGGGTTGAGCTTTGTCTCGCCTAAACCCGCCTTTGTGTGTGTGTATGTATGTGTGTGTGTGTGTGTATAGGGTCATCATAATACCAACGCCTTGACAGTTAACAAGTGGATGAAATGAGGCACCTTGATCATACCCCCTGACAGCTATCAGGTGATTGCCGTACACAAACCACACACTTCGTCATGCGCAATTGCAGAGCACAAATTTCACTGGCAACATGCGACGCTCAACTCCAGCGTTCACGTACGGTACAAATTGTAACCAGTGTACCAAACCATGCCTCAGATGCTTTCAATATATCACGCGAGAGTGTGACATATTTCATCCACAATACTTTTCAATAGAGGTTCGCGGTTCTTATGGAAACAAACGAACCAATCCATGCGAGAAAGACAGGGCTCGCGAATGTAATTACCTCAATAAATTGTTAAATGAAAGCAGTAAATGCGACGGAGACGGCCACATAGCTCCCCTGAAGCTTGCACCAAGCAAGACTAGAGTACTCAGCTCTTGCTATAAATAGAGAAATAATTAGGTTTTCTAAGGCTATCCGGCCCTAGACGTTTTAGTGCCCGAAGTTCTTATCTAAACGTTCAAGCCATGGCGGCTTTGTTTACATTGAGGTAATTATTGTTATAAAAAACTTTGTAGTTCTTCGGAGTTCATTACTGTTTAATTAACGCAAACAACCCCGCCGTGAATGTTGAAAGATGTACAGGTTTCGTCTGTGGTTGCGTAAAGACTTTGTGAATCCTGGTTCCCTGGAAGCCTAGTTATGCTTTGGACGTTATTATTATTATCGCGATTCGGTTTCCACTTTTTTAGTTTAAGGTAATTTGTATTAGAAGGTTTCTCACTACAAACTGACGCAAGTTTACCAGACTATGATGTCCCGAGTATAGTCATGTTTGGTTAACTCATGTTGAACTATAAAATGCATATTACACTAATCGTAATTATATTAAATGGATTGAAATAACAAAAGACCGTCATAGGACAATGTAATTGCAAATTGAAGCAAAGTTCACAAGGCCGCTCGCGGTGCCTCTCGACTCAGCTGATCTATAAACAGTGAATATTTCATACCCCAGGAACCCATTAAATATTTAGGATCAATGCGCCTGCGCTCTCCCTAAGATCCAGCATTATATTCTACCTTTTGACTATTATATGATAATACTATATTCATAGTTTCGCAGAAAAATGCATTTTTAGCAAGTTAACGCGATTTCTATTTGGGGTTTTCCAGTGCTGGCCGTGAAGCCTAGCGCGGAGTGAATATACCCACAGTCACTCCTCATTAGGCTTGGTGCTACATAGCCTTCCCGGTTTGGTGCCTTCTTTTGATAATTACTTACTTACTCCTCATTAGGTTACTAACATAGTGCTCCTCAGCGCTGTTTATCTTACCAGTGATGGAAACTGGTTTTTTTTTACCCTTTTCATTGAAGCTGATACTGTCGTTCTTGGTATTATTTAGTTAGCTATACCTGCCGTTGTCGGTACCCGTGAGACAAGTCATGATACTCCTTTATGTTATCAATAACTGAAATCAGAATCATTATCATTTAATGTTATTAGTAATGTAAATCAGCTCTATTACCTCTCTAGGTCATCAGTAACTAAATCCGAAACCGTTACAACTTGAGTTATTTGTAACAAACCTATTCCTTTACGTCATCAAAAACAGAAACCATCTCCGTTATAATATCAGAAACCAGCTCCATTAGGTTAACAAATTACTCCATTACTTCATCAGTAACAGAAACTATCTCCAATTCTCTGTTACGTCATCAATAATAGTGACATACTGGTTACCGAAATAATTTACTTCAGGACCATCACATAACAGTATAACTTTGGGAATTTGTGATCCTGAATTTGTTTCATGTGTAGCTGTCTTGGACCCCCAGCAATTTGCAAGGGGAAATACCGTGCTTAACACACAACCCATTTAGTTGCTGGAGACTAATAGTCTCTAGACGTACAATTTTTGTCATAAGGTAATGCCTGACATGACATTAGGTTACATTTAGGCGGACGACCTGACTTTGTTGGCTGTTGCGGTTGGCGAATGCTGCAGTCTTAGGTCGATGGCTGCAACTTATTCTGGAAGTATAGTTGAGTGTAAGGAGAGAGAGAAAAGTGTATTGTGGCTGTGGCTCGCACGCACCCCCTGACTTTGAAAATCCTGATCAGTAGTGCTCAACTCATGGCCGCCATTCTTTGGCGGTCATGAGTTGAGTTAAAAGTCAAGTTTGACTTTTAATTATAATGGAAAATCATATCATATTTTTAATTACGGAAGTAATCATTGTCGGTATATGCAACACGCATCATAAGTGTTAAAAGTTGAAATTATGTGAAATAAGACCCAGAACGTGCGGTGAAGTATGCGGAACTTATAGAGGAAATGACTAGAGTTAAGGAGAGTGGGAATGTAAATCTTAGGGTTAAAACCGATTGTGCAGTGCAACATAAGAGGATATATTTTGGGCTTATGGACTTGCTGTATGGAATTGACTGAAGTTGTCAGGATAACCATCCTGAGGTGTATAAGTTAGCACACGTATCCGCTCGCCTCGCAAGCGAGGCACCT